TTTTTTATTTAAAAATATTAATTTTTAATAGTCTAATTAAAATGTTCATTTATTATATTAGCATTATTATTTAATTAATTTTATATCAAAAATTAAAAATTAATATTCTTATTTAAATTTTAATAAAATTAATATTTTTAAATAAAAAATAAATTTAAAACATTGTCATTTGTACATTTTCTCCTCCGTGAAAGCTAACTGCACCATAATTTCAGTCATGAGCAGTGCTAGGGGCACTCGCCTTCTGCACTCTCCGGCCAACACTCCTCCTTTCATTGGGCCACGTTATTTTAGGTCGGCGGGGGGTTACGCTTCAGATCTTAAACAACCTTACGTGGCCCAATGAAAGAGGGAGTGTTGGCCGGAGAGTGCAGGAGGCGAGTGCCCCTACACTGCTCTTTCAGTCATTACCTCTTTTATTGGACGACTCAACCAAACCTGATTAAAGCCATTTATTATCCTTTCAACTCCCGATCCCAAATACATGAAAATCATGGGATTTTTACCTGGGACACATGGCAGCTTCTGGCTATGCTATTATAGGGTGTAAACAAAAGTACTCTCAGTAGAAGCTATCAATCTCAGCTTCACTGGAGCACTCCATATTATCCCAAAAATACCCTCCCAAGATTCTCTTAAATGATTGCACCTCTCCATTTTTCCTCACATTTCTACCACTCTTAAATGATTACATTTCTTTATTTTTTCTCTCATTTCTACCATTCTGATATAATTAGGTTGAGGAATTTCTCCTATCTCAACACGCAGGGAGACCTCTCTTCACGCAAGTGGGGGCTTAGATTTTCATTGCACCTCTTGGTGTTTCCACACTCTTTCTAGCAATGGTGGAGCCACGTTATGGTATTTGCCCCCAGCCTTTTGTGAAAAATTATTTTGGTCCTTTAAGTTTTATTTTTATCATTTTTATGCTTGAAAAATTAGTTTCATATCATCATTTTATTCCATTTTTGGTTTTTGATCCGTTGGAGACTTAAGAATCTTTAAAAATGCCTTCCTACTAAGTTATTTTTCTAATTGTTATGAAAACATGACTAAAAAGATTAATTTATTCCTAAAAATGACTTATGTAATAGTATTATATTTTGAAATAGAAATTCAATTTGGTCTCTAATGCAAACTGTCTAGATTTTGCACATGGTATGAGAATAACAAATCGGCATATGTATTGAAATGACAAAATGACAGATTACGTATCATATGTTGCCAAGATGCTGCCATAATGCTAACTGTTTGCTCATACTTAATGCTGCCTCTTTGCTATACAAAATGCTACCAAAATTGCTAATTGTTTGCCAAAACCACATACAGTATACCAATTTGTCTATAAAAAATTCAATTTGGTTTTGACATTATAGAGTTTATCCTAACCACAACAAAATTAACAACATCAAAATAAACCTCTATGCATCACAGTGCCTTCTCGTCAAAATTCACACAATCTTCGTTGTCAATCTCATCTATAGTTTATCTTGATTTAAATTCTTCAGACATTGCAGGAGTAACTAAAAAAGAAGCCATCAAACCATATGTAATGATATGCTACCTTGCTAAGCAAGAAAAAAAAAATTATCAATCAAGTTCGGGCATTCAAGAATACTCACATATGGTTTGTCAAAGAACAAACCTCAAACAAAACATGCACATACTTTTATCAATCAGACAAAGTTAGATTTCATAGAAAATGTATCAAAAAAGGCAAAAAAAAAAAAAAGCATTTAGTCTGTAGAGAATCCTTTACTAATTCCATTGACAAAAATCAAATTTTGAACATGAAATATGGTATTTGCCTCCAATAGAACTTGATATCTTAATCATACTTTAATCAAATTCTTACTACAAAACATAACATACCACTCTTAGCATTTGGAGCAGACCCGTTCAACAACAAAGATACAATGAGAAAGGAAAATTAAGGATTTCTTCAATAGGTTTTTCGATTATCAACACAAGGAGCATGCTAGTTGTTACGGTTCTCTTGTTTATGTAGAAGATCATGTTGGTGGAAAGTGGGGCATTAGCGGTTGCTCTGTTGCAATGATGGCAATGCTAGTAGCCTCTTGGATTTAATTTATCTTAAAAAGTTAAAAATTAACTTTAATTTACCAACCATCTAGTTAAAAGTATGCATTTGGCATTGATGACAAAAATAAGATCAACTACTTTGTTTTTTATAGCAATTAAATGTAAAAAGATACAATTAATACACTTTAAGGACACAAGTTAAATAAACTTATATTAATATAGATATAATTAAAAATACAATTATTCACACAGGTTATAGGAACCGTTTAAATCGACTATATTTAAATTACATTTTTAATGATTGAACTAAAAGTGTGTTAAAAAATGTGTTAGGAAATATGTTGGGAAACATATTAAACCGAGTGTGTACTAATCATTTTTAAAATTTATATTATTTACTAGTTTTCTTTTCTTATTGTGTGTTGCACGGCTTATGCAGTATGCACGGGTTCTTCAGTTCTTCGCATTAGAGTTTAGATTCTATACAATGTTTTTTCAACTCTTAAATTTTATAAGGGTTTTTTGGTCAAAAGATTATAAATAAGCGATTAAAGCTGCTTTTGAGATTGTATTTAGTAATTGGTAATAATACTTTTTAAAAAGTTGCAGTCATGTTAAAAAAAAAAAAGAATATTAATAAAATTTAAAAACATTGAATATTAATCTTTATCATCCAAATAAATAAATTATCATTTTCTGTAGTATTATCTTAATTAAGGATTTATACAATAATTCCTTTTTTTTTTCAATCCATATATATATAATGCTACCTTATGCATTGATTAGAATATGCATTTACATAAAATATAATAATATATAGGTGTATCATAAAAAAATATTATATAGGTAAAAGAGAAATGGCTAATTAATTAAAAAAACAATAATGGAAAAAAGGAGACTATTAAATACTATATAATATTATATAATATTAAGGCATAAAGTAGCATTATATATAATATATAAATTTATTAAATTTAGTAAACTCTCGATTTTACCAATTCAATTTTATGATTCTAATTTCATCTAATTGAGTTATAACAAATTTATATTGTAATAATCAAAGTACAATGCAGATAGTTTATAATGACGTATTCCATGAACACGCAAAACGTATTATCAGTCATCATGTTGCAAAGGAAACTATATGCTTGATTTTCATTAGTTTAATTGATCAACCTGCAAATTTATTCACCAAGGCTCAACTCCCTAGACACTTGCACACTCTTCTTTTCAAACTCAAGCTGCTTTCCTCACCATCACCTTAAGTTAGAATAGTAGTATTCACACGATATTAATATGTTCACATCATAATTGATTATATATATTTAAGTTAATCGAGTTTATAACTAAAAGGACCATGATTGGCTTACACTCCACCGTACCACACTCTCGTTACACACTCTTTTTTTCGTTAACTTCCGTTAGTTTCCACACTCTGTTAGTTACCATTACACTCTCACCATGCCAATTCCCACCTTCTTCCCTTTTTCTTTTTCTTTTTTTACACCCAGGTCTGGGTTCCTAGATCGGAGAACCCATTGAGTTCTCCATGAGAACCCAAATCGAGATTCTCTAGGAGAGCCCAGTCTAGGTTCTTCGTTCTCCAGGAGGACCCAAATCGAGTTCTCCAGGGGAACCTAGGTCTAGGTTCTCCATAAAAATAAAAATAAAATAAAATAAAATAAAGAAAAAAAAAAGAAAAAAAGGAAGAAGGTGGGAACCTGGAGAGGGCTGGCAATTGTCTTGCAAATGATTAGGATAAGGATGGAGGTGAGGAGGAAGATGGATCTAGTGAGGATGGAAAGGGTTGGGTGAGTTGGGAGATGGCTGAAGAGGTGATAACGGAGTTAAGTGTAATTAACGGGAAAATAACAAAAATTGAAGGATGTAACGGAGTGTGGTACGGTGGATTGTGCACGCATCATTATCCTAACTAAAAATATTCCATTAACAAGAAAGTAATAAGCTTTTCTTCAAATATTCCCCTTCTTTAAGTTTCTAACAAAGACTTCATTTTTCTAAATCTATCATCCAGCAGGTGTTTAGCTACAATACTTGAGGGAGGAGAATACAGTGCCATGTTCTGTCTTAGATGCAGTCAATTACAAGGGTGAGCCTGCTGACAGGACTACAATTGGTTGTTGGGTGTCTGCATCTTTTATTGTGGGTAAGTTTTTCATTTTCTTTGAATTCAATCTTCAACACCTCGTTCAGTACTCAGGAATTCTCATTGCCCTAGTTACAAGACTAGGAATTCTCATTGCCCTAGTTACAAGACTAGGAATTCTTTTATGATAGTTGGCCTATTGATCCCACTACCATACCAAACCCTGCAATCACTAACCATTAACTTACACAATGTACCAACTACAATTTGGCTATAATAATTTTGATAGTTGTTGATGCTTTCGTTACCGTTACGTTTTCTTTCTAGTAATTGAGGCTGGTGAGAGAATGACAACAACGACGATCTTAACCAGCATGGTGATATATCTAGTTGGAACAATGCATCTTCCAAGTGCCACCACTGCTTCAAATGCTAATAGGAATTTTCTAGGCACATCCTACCTTTTTTGCTTGCTTGGGGACGTAACAGCTGATTCCTTTTTAGGTCGATATTGAACAGTTATCATTTCTACTCTTATTGGTGCATTGGTAGGTTTGTTTAAGATTGCTTGGAGGTACATCACTTTCTTTCACCCAAATTATGGTAGTTAAATTGTTTCTTAATCTGGTAATGTATTAGGGCACTTATTTGCTGGCAATTGCCACACATTCCTATAGCTCTGACCACCAGCCTGCAACCTTGCGTTGCCTAACACCTGCCAAGAGGCTAACAGTTTGTAGATGGGCTTGTACTACTAATTTCTTTACTTATGTGCAATAGGACTCGATGGAATTAAATCCAGTGTTCCAGCATTTGGAGCAGGCCAGTTCGATCACAAAGACAACAATGAGAAAGGGAAAATTAAGGATTTTTTTAATAGGTTTTTCGTGATTACCAACATAGGAAGCCTGCTCGCTATTACGGTTCTTGTTACGTAGAAGATAATGTTGGTGGAAAGTGGGCCATTGGCAGGCAGTTGCTCTATTGCAATGATGGTTGTCTTCGCTGTGTTTCTGTTAGGGACTAAGAGATATAGGTGCACAGCGTTGCCTTCACTTTTCATGTACCTGTATCTCTTAGTGCCTAACAGAAACACAAACCAAGGCAACCATCATTGCAACAGAGCAATCGCCAATGGCCCACTTTCCACCAACTTTATCTTCTACATAAACAAGAACCATAACAGCTAGCAGGCTTCCTGTGTTGCTAATCATAAAAAACCTATTGAAGAAATACTTAATTTTCCCTTTCTCTTTCTTGTTTTTTTTATCAAACTGGTTTGCTCCAAATGCTGAAACACTGGATTTAATTCCACCAAGTCCTATTGCATATAAGTACAGGCCCATCTATGTCAACTTTGGATTTCTTCACTCTTGCTCTTACAATGTTTTTTCCTCCTTTTCGTCGACTGATTGGAGTTTGAACCCGAGAGAGTGCATTAGAACTTTGTGAAGAGGCCGGTGGATGACAGCATCAGCAGCTACGTGGGAAATCTTCTTTGCTCAGGGTGATTTTTTATCTGTTTTCTGCAGATTATGTCCTTGCTCTTTGTTTTACACTGTTATTGTGGGTAAATTCCTCGAGGACTTGAAGGGTGTATATTATTGCTCTGAGACATATTGCATTGATTTACCGAGGAAAGAGAGATACCGCATTGAGATTGAGAAGTAAGATGTGAAAGATTGAGAAGTACGATGTGAGGGCAACGCATCAAGAATTGAGATGGCCAAAATGGGGTAAATTTGACTCCAATTAATTTCAATTCAACATGGGTAATTATCTATATATAAACATGGCTCTGTTTCTTAAGTGACAAAAAATACAAACTTACAAAGTGAAAGACCAGATAAACAAATCATGGAATATGGAATAATCCCTAAACTAAATGACTTACCTCCCCTTCAACTTTTTTGGGTAACTAAATAGTGAAATTTTCTCTCCTCTCCTCCTTTACCCTCAAACCAAACATATCCTAAGCTGTTGTATAGAAGTTAGGAGTAGAACCACACTGACGCTAAGATTCTGGTCTGGCCATGAACTAAACAGTGTCATGGTTTAACTACATAAAAATATATACAGGACATTTTCATTGGGCCATAAATATACAAGGAAAAATGAGAACAAAGCCTTAAATTGACAAATCTACAGTAGAATTTCAAAATCCATCCAAACTCCCAAACCCCGGATCTTTCAGCAAAGACTTTCAGAAGGCATGGAAAACAAAATCCATGAGGAGAAGAATGCAACTCAATCACCAATGTAAGTTAACAAGGTTATTCACTCGGACTGAGGCTGTTTCCATGGAGATGGATGGTAAAGAATGATGGTTTTGAAAGAAATCAATCATATTGACCTTCAAGAGCCTTCACCTGAATCATTGGTTTCTTTCTTCCTTTTCAGCAATTCAATCTCTTTGGCAGTTGGTTGGCCTTCAGTGCTGGAGACACGTGGGTTGACACCAGACTCATTGGTCAGGCCGCTGCATTCATTGCTACCCAGCGTTTGGTTTTCTAGTGCCATCTTCTTGAATTTCTTCACGTCTTCATAGTACTCAGTAAAGCCGTAATCAGAGCCTTCATGGTAACTAAAAGTCATGCTATATCCCGGGATCATTCCCTCATTCAGATTATCCAGCGCCAAATTACCTTCCAAAGCCCGGACTATCTGCTTGGCAAAATGAAGAAAAATGCTTAATGTTACACATCAAATTGAAATTTTAATAACTTTAAATTGAAAATTGCATCCTTCTAAAACTAGCATTGATTTAACCAAGAAAAAACTATGCATCAACTGAGATTGAATCTAGATTTTGGATACATTACCAAATGAAAACAAATGACAATTCTACATTCTGGATTCATTTAATAAAGCAAAGAGAATTTGGTTAAGAAATAAGAAGTTAAACTTATTATCACATAATGAGTAGAACCTGGCTCATTTGGGGACGAAGCTTTGCTGAATGGCGCACACAGGCAGCAGCACAAGCAATCATTCGAGTCATTTCACTGGAGTCATAATTCTTCTCCAAACTTGGATCAACAAGAGCTTCAAGGTTACCAGTTTCCGTAAATTGTGAGAGCAAAGGCCTTGCCTAAAGTTCCATAGTAGCATATGTTATTCATCACAAAAGGGTGAAACATAGCCTACAACAATTTTGGTTGAGGTAGACAACACTTGGCATAGGGGGGGGGGGTGTGGGGCGTTTGTGTTGGGGTTGGAGTTTGCTGCAAAGGTACTGGCATCTGCATAGCCTAAAATTTAAAATTTAAGTGTCGCCTCCTTGAAGCCTCCAAACCACTCAACACCAACGACATGCCACAATTTTATTTGGTTATTTTTAGGGACTAGAACAGGTAAAAGTGAATACATACCCAATCAACCACGCTTTCATCTCTGGTTCTATTAACAGGGCGACGTCCAGTAATCATCTCTAAAAGCACAACCCCAAAGGAGAAGACATCTGATTTATCAGTGAGCTTCCCAGTACAGGCATACTCTGGAGCTAAGTAACTGTATTCATGAATTTTGAGAGAAGCAATATATAGGATAGGTTCAATACTCTTGAAGATATAAATGAGAAAGGAAATTAATTAACAAGAAAAAGAAAAGGAAAGAGAAAGGGATAAAGGAGATGCCAAAACCATAAACTCTTGTTTGCAACATTTCCAAATATCTAAAGCGTGGTAAAACTTAAATTATCAGAAAATAAAGAATAGAAAACATATCCTACCCAAAAGTTCCCATCACTCGAGTTGAAACATGAGTGTCAGTATCAAGAGAAAACTTTGCCAGTCCAAAATCTGCAACCTGGACAAAATGTCTATACGTTAACTGTATCTACAAAATAACAAATGAAAACTAATATGAAAACTTAATATACAAAACTGAAGCTACTACATTTAAGCAAACTATGCTTTATGCAATCTAAAGCAAGCTAGTTCCATGGAATTCAGGATAGGATGCTATCTACATTCAAGTGAACTATTGCATTGAAACTTTTTAAGGATGATTTGCATTTTTCTCATTATGCAAAACATTATAAATTAAGGTTTTTATTCTGCTAAGAAACATCTAAAGAGCTAATAAGAATTTAGAAACATAATTCGAACTTCAGTTGATTGAATGAGGCAAAAGGATAAATCAAGATAGTGGCTAAAACAATAACTTCAAACTTCAAAAGTTTATTCACATCATAGTGTCACAAGCTAAGTATCCAGAATCAATTACAAAAATTATATATTTAAACAAACAAACAAAAATCATGTGAAATACATTATACCTTTGCTTCAAAGCTTTCATCGAGAAGAATATTAGCTGATTTGATATCACGATGTATGATCTTGGGGTGACCTGATGATATGTTTTAACATTTAAAAGAGTAAAAACTACAACACCAAGACCCAGAAGCTGCTGATTAAAAAGTGTGCAAGGTATACTCACAGTCTTCATGCAAATATGCCAATCCTTTAGCTGCTCCCAAAGCAATTCTCATTCGGCTTCTCCAGCTCATAACTGCACTCCCATTTCCTGCAACACCATTCTTCTTAGTAGAAAGTATATTAATGCATTGTAATTAAAAGTTCCAAAGAGTAGTCATATTCCTAATGATCTAATTTTTGCAACCACATACTTTTCCCACCATACACCATATTCTTTATTTTTTGTTTTCACTTTTTCTTCAGGAATTTGAGGGTTGGAAGCCCTGTTCTGTCCAGAAGAACTCACCATGCAAATGAAATTTCAATGTGTTGTTTGGAACAAACTCATACACAAGCATTCTCCTCTCCCCAATGATGCAGTAACCAACCAGTGAAACAAGATGTCTGTGATGCACACGGCTAATGATCTCAACTTCTGCACGAAACTCACGCTCACCCTGCCCACTCCCAGCTTTAAGCTGCTTAATTGCCACTACTTTCCCATTTGGAAGCACTCCCTTATGAACGTAACCAAAACCTCCTTGACCAATGAGGTTAGCATCAGAGAAACCATTTGTTGCTGATGCCAATTCTTCATAAGTAAATGAACTCTGTGGAGAGCCTAGGACCATTCCAGGTGACCCTAATGGGGGAAGCGGTTTCTCTGAGCCCAAGCTACCACTAGTTGAAGAAGATTCAGTAGATGGACGAACATTCTTCAAAGATGGATTGGGAGGGGTATTTGTTGGCAGAATTGTGAGTTGGGGAACATTCTGTCGCCATTGCTGATCGTCAACTGGAGACATTGATAAAATACAGGCAGAAAGGGAATTAGTAGGCATGGAAAATTTAGTAAGATAAAAGGCAGTTCTAGATTGGTTTGAGAATTTAACGTACACTAGCATTAGAAACGAGACTGATTGTCCAACTAAATCATATAATGGAAGAATTAAAAAGGAAAAGGACTAACTCCATCCCCAGGTGAAAACTCTTAGACAGAATGCCTTTGCCAGATTAGATGAAGTGACCATAAACTTTAGAACTTTTGCATCATAAATGAACCAGTGAATTGCCAAAAGACACAAAAGCAAACATACAGGGAATAGTGACTATCAGCTTATCTCTTGAAAATTACAAGGAAAATTATTCCAAAATTATGTCATTTCAATAAACTCTATTAAAAGAAAAAAAAAAAGATTAATATACTCTATTTTTAAAACATGAATTAAAGTTTTTTTTTTTTTTTGTCATTTCTTATGATACTTTATTGAAAAGACATACTAGTGAAATAAGATAGATAAACACTTTCCCCATATATATATATGAGATTAGTTTGTGTATGAATTTTGACTCTCAAAAAAGAATTAAAGTCACAACCTATATTTAGACACTGAAATTCAATTCAAAATTTAAAAATCCAATTAGTTTTTAAATCTAAATATTAATATTTAATAAGACAGATTTTTAAATTTTAAATTGAATCTTAATTAAATAAAATGATGTAATTTAAGGTTAGAACTTCAATTTTTTTGTTAGAAATCGACTGATATGCATTTATATATATATATAAGGAAATATTACTTATCCACCTTACCTCCTAAAAATTAGGAGGAATATTATTTCAAAACTATGTTATTTTAATAAATACCTATTAAAAAAAGACTAAAATATCTTATTTTTAAAGCATGAATTAAGGTATTTTTTTATCATTTTTTCTCCTACTTTTTTTGGAGGTAAGCGGAACTCATATATTTCATAAAATATTTACCTATCTAACGAAGCATCTAATTTTTACTTCAACAAAATCCAAATTCTATACCTTAATATAAAAAGAGGAAACGAGTACGTATAAATAAATGTATCCAACACTGACCAAAGAGTCAAACCAAACAAATAAAATACAGAACACCCCTCCATTTTATAAGAAAATAAATGAAACCCCCCAGAAATTATCATTTTATTATTTTAGTATGGAGGATTAGGTGCACAGCGATCTTAAGGTCCATCCTCCAACCCTTGGAATTATAATTTTTTTATTTTTATTTTTGGCTAAAATAATCATTTTGTTATTAAATACTAATTATATTGAGTAAATAACTTTCAATCCCTATCAATCTGAGCAATATATCAAGTCATAAAAAGACAAAAAAGAAAAAAGAAAAAAAGAAAAAAGAAAAAAACAGTAACCTTTTGGTTCTTGCGGTTGAGGTGAGAAAGGACCGTCATGGTTGTTCTGTGGAAGCTTCCGCTTCCTCCTGTAAATTACAAAAATACCAACGACGATCAGCACCATCATTGCACCCAAGGCTATTCCTACTACAAGCACAGCGATAACCCCTGGCGGAAGACCTTTCGGTGGTGGAGGAGCCGGACGCGTACCATTTGGCGGCCCTTCCGCCGAAGGAGGAGGAGAAGGAGTAGGAGTAGAAGTCGCGCTCATCGTGCCGGTCGACGAAATAACGGGAGAGAGTTCCGGTGATCCTCTCCAGAAGATATTTCTTCGTGTTCGTTGATGAGACGGTGCAACGAAGAAGCCAAATGAGTTTTCCCAAATGAAGCGGTCTTGTCAGGACTCTGGGTGTATGGTGGATGTCATGAGTGTGAAAGAAATCTATATTTTCTTCTCTGTCTGGGCCCCAACTGTGTTGAACGACGTCGTAGGATGACCGACCCAGTGTCCAATGGTTGCTCGTGAAAACATTGATTCCGCGTTAGCGTTGGACATTAAAAATAACGATTCCAGGTAGAATTTCCACTCGGTTAGCGGGTTAGGTGATAACGTGCTCTTGGTGTCCCTTTATATTATGTCCAATCCAATACCGTCCCCGCACGTGTTTTGTGATACGGAGTGACTTCTAAAAGTAAAGAAAGTTTCACTTTCATGACTTTCATCTT